CCCCCCCGCCCCCCCCCCCCCCCCGCCCCATGGACCGAGTTAAAGCAAAACATGGAGTAGTTGTTGCCCTTCCACCCGGGAATATTAACACCCCCTCCCCCCGGAATAATAATCACCCCTCCTCCTCCTCCTCTCACCCCCACCCTGCGTTCACCCCGCTCTGCCCGGGGGAGACCTCCAGCCTTTCCCGGGGCTACAGGCAGCCGGGCTGCCCTTACCTCCGCCGCCCCGCTCCCTCGCAGCCTCTTCCTCCTCCTCCTCCTCCTCCCCGAAGCCCCCCCCCTGCTCCGAGGGGTTTCGCTGCGGACCCTCCAGCTGCGGCCGCCGGGGGATGCGGCGGGGCCGCCCACAGATGTTTGCGTTGGTGGGTATTAAAAGCTGCCTTTTTGGCATGAAAATTATCTAACCCTGGCAGAAGAATGAAGGCTAGGTAAGAAACAGGCTTACGTGATTGATTTAAACATCTACTTTTTCAGGAGGGATATTTCATAGCACTTACTTGTTTGATTCCTGACCTCTTGAGGCTGCCTAAGTGGGGACTAAGGCAAGACTTGCAAGTGGTATGGAGAAACTAGTGATACCACCTGGTTACTCAGACAGCTTCTCAGCTGCTTCTTGAAGAACTAGATTAGTTTCCCTTTTTTCCACCTCCTCCCTTTAAAAAAAAAAAAAAAAAAGAGAGAGGGGTTTATGCAGCGTAACCTGTATGGGATGGGGACATAAGCGGTAGCTGAGCCAGCTAGCCCTGCAGCAGGCAGCGTCCCGTCCCTGCACGTCCTCCTGCCACAGCAGTGAGCCTCGCAATTTCCTGTGTTTATCAATCCCTGGGGGATGTTAAAGAGGACAGTCAACCAGAAACGTGGGGTTTTTTTCCAGAAATGACATGAGTTATGAGGCCACAAACTCACTCTGCTGCAACGCAACATAGCATTCGTTTCTGCTACAGAGCCATAGGATAACAGAAGTTAAAACCAAAGATTGAACATTAGCAAAGTCACTGCAACAGTAAAAACAAAGTGTTATTTTTCTTTCATATGCTAGATTAGGAAACAATGATGTGGAGTTTATAATATTTCATACAATATGTTTTTTTATCTCTAACAGCTGCAGGGATCGATCATGATGTCAATGAGAATAATGCACCCAGATAAGAGGAGGAAATAACACATTTGTAGACACTTTCTAATCAGGGCACCAGTTGTGATCATACAACTTCTACTGAAAACCAGAATCCAAAAGTTCAATGCACCTAAGACAAAGAAAATCACATATGTTTACTTCAGTGCCAAAGTTTCCTACTTGCTCTTGAAGATGTATTCACGATGCAAGTGCCTTTTATCCTGCAGCCATTAACATCACAGAGAGCCACCCTGATCTGAAAAACAATATCTGCTGTAATTACTTTATTCACTAAATGCAATGTTGATTTCATGTCATGACTAAAAGCATTTCAGCAACTACAGCCCCGCCTTTGCAGATGAGATGACTGCTGTGATGTTAAGGAAACACTCAGCAGGCACCTATAGCTCCTTCAGAATTAAACTGGAACTAAGTACTATGTGTCCTAATGAAAGCAGGACTCAAGATTTCTTGAAATACAAAAAAAATACAGTATAGCCTTGGGTCCAAAAAAAAGAGGTGTCATGAACAGGCACCTCTATAGCCTGCAAGAGACTAAATCACACCTTGGTAAAATCTGCAGGCCTACGAGACAGGGATGAAAAATGAAAATGCCAAAGAGTTCATGACCAGAAACCTGTGTATTTGCTTAAGAAATAAGGGACTCTGAGACACCATCTCTCATAGTGCTGAATGGGGCCCACAACCTCAACTACTCTATTTTTTCAGAGCCTTCTATCTTGTCCTACTTAGCCCTTTGAGTGCTCCTCACTGTGTTTTTTCATCTCTCACGACCTTCAGTTTTCTGGCTTTCTTTCCCCTTTCTCTGTGCATCTGCTAACTCTGTTTCTGCTCCCGTATTGGAGCAGGCCATCTCCAGGGGTTATCCAGGGACAACAAATACTCCATAATAATCTTACCATTGGCTCTTGCTATCAGAGCAGCTGCTAGTCTGTGGATATGAAATTTTTAGTTCCCCAGGACTGCCAATTTGGACCATTTTATTCGGATCACCACAAATTCAAAAAACACACATGCAAAAAAATAAATAAATTTTGTAATTGCATGGGATACATAAGAGTAATTTTTTCCTATGAAAGATTCATAGCTTCTCCATTGGCCATAAAATCTGGTATTTCCCAGCACTGCCTGAAATAGAGAGTAAAATAGCATGGGTATGTGAGTAAACTATTGCAGGTATGAGAAGGCTACCTCCTGTGGGAGAATGTCTGGCTTCAGCCACCACAGCCGCTTCCCTGCCCGCAGGATCCTGGCAGTAGTCGCTGCCTCCTGCGGGGTGACCTTCCAGCTGTCCCCTCTGCAGAGCAGCAGGTCCCTTCCCCGCAGAGGGTCACAGCAGACTGCTGCCCTCAAGGCCAGGTGCTGCCAACGCAGGGCTCCTCCCAACCCAGCAGATTCCAGCAAATTTTTGACTGTGCGTGGCAGCAGCTGAGTGCTGCCAGACAGACAGCGTGGTGGAAGGACCTGCTGCAACATCCCACTGCTGTGCTGCAGGAGCTCCTCCCTGACATCCGAGACTGGTTCCCCTTTCCAGTCCACCTGGTGCTGGGCTCAGCTAGAGCACTTATTACTTCCTGATTTTAACCTGAATTGTGCCAGCCAGTGAAATTCCTATATGCTCCCTCTTTTTGAAGTCAGTTCCTCCTATTGCCTTTAAAACAGCCCAAGCCACTTCAATGAACGACCTCTGCAGGACCCTAGGTATCCCTGAAGGCTCATGGTTAAGCAGAGGTCACACTGCCAGTAAGAAGATTGCTCCTGGAGTACCCTACCAAAACCAGTTTTGTAGGGTATAATCCCTGGCACCTCCTTGTAGTTCCAGATGTGCTCCCCTACATGTTCTCCGCTTCCTGATAAGACACGCGATGAAAATGGCAAGAGAGCAAAAGTTTGCTATATCAACCAACGATTTATTACTCAAAGCCCAGCTCTGGAGAGGAAATGAACTAAAATATGGTCTGGTTTCTGTTAGTATCACTTTTATGGACCTCCCCTTACAGTGTCTTCACAATACAGTCAGGGCTTCCGTGAAAGGATCTAGTAAGACTGCAAAGCTGATAGGACTAGTGGACTATGACAAATATTTGTAATAAATACAAATAAAATCCTGCATTTGGCACTTACAGAGCACTTTACAGACTGTTAGAATTTGCTGCACTTGTTATCTATGTTTCCAAATACTTCTTGAAGACAAGAAGACACAACCAAAAAAATAGAGGTGTTTACTGAGAGAACTCACTGTTTGAGTAGTCTAAAATGCTATTTTCTGCCTGCAATGAAGCCAGGTCTGAAAGAGACAAGTGAGGAATGAAAGACAGGGCTTGCTGACCTCAATATGATTTGTAATTCTTTGATTGCAAGGGTTGCTACCTTACTGTGGCTACCAGTGACTGTGCAAAAAAGGAATTTAGATTTCTCTTCATTGTGTGAAGTACCAGATAGTGGGGTGACTGAGGCCTTCAAATGAGAAACTGGAATATTACAAAGATCCTGTTCTAAAGAACCACCAAACACTAACAAAATATGGTAAGCAGAAGTGTCGTTCTGTGCTGCGCATACTAGTCAGCTTTCATCTTAAGGATTGTCTCAAGTTAATAAAAATAGGAAGGGACCATTATCTACATATTAATGCAAGAGCATTAATGAGTCCCTGGTGGTGTTCATAAGAAGGACTCCGTTTTCTTACCAAAAATTTACAAACCAGCTCGGTTAGCCAATGTGATGCTCATAACAGCTCACACTTGGGCAACAAGCAGGTGACACCTGTAAGAGCTGAACTTACCCTGTTCCCTGCTAGGGAGAAGACTGGAAACCAGGGCCATGTGTTCACAGTATTGGGTTCTAGTGGGACACTGTGCTGCGTTTTGTTGTCACCTCCTGCTGAGATCCAGCCTCTTGCTCCTGAATCTCTGCTTTCTTAAGTTATTTGATTGATTCTTAACCTTCAGCCATCCTGTCTGTCTGTGGAATACAGTTAGGTAGTGTGAGCCCTCAGGGCTCTTAGATGGCAAACACAGTGATTTAAAAGAAATGGTCAAATCTCATGGATTTGGATGCTCTAACCAATGATATTTGAGTGTTTAGGGCTTGCAACATTGTGTTGTGATAAGAAAATTCTAAAAAGCTTTCATGTCAGGTATTTCCATAAAGCCATGCAACAAGGCAGATGGGATTTGCACCTAGAGTTATGCCTCAACTGAAGATTTCTCTGCAAGTCTTGGCTGTCGAGATCAAAGTGCTTGGTGTACTGCTTGTCACAAGCGTCACCAAGTGCACTGCCTCTACCAACTATTGCTTAGGAGAAACACACTCTCAGTGGCAGAAAGATGTGTGGGTCAGGAAAGAAACACTACTGAATAAATAGGAGCGTTGGCAAGGCAGTCCGTAATATTGATAACAGCTGGGAGAAATGGCTGTCTGAGCCCAGCTAGAAAAATCAAAATGCATCAGAGAAACAGGTGCAGCTCCTCTTTATGAGACCACCTTGTACTCACTAAAGGGGAATCAGCTGGTGCTAATGCAACATTAGCAGAAACTAATAATAATTAGCAGTCCTCCATAATGCAAGGCTACAGTAGCAGCGGCTTCGGTTCTTACTGCCCCTCAGGTGACAGAATTAATGGAGGAAGCAAGAGTAATGCTGTGGAGTAGGAACTTTGTAATTCAATCAGACCAGCAAAGGCAGCAAGGGGCTGTATCCTCCTCCAAAACCACTGGTGCTACAGATGCTACACTTTGTATCTTAGAAATGTCTCAAATGCAAAGTCATGTGGGGCAAGAGTTTTAGGAATTTTACTCAGATATCATTAAAATGTTATAGCAGACCCTGATTTAGGCATAAATTGATTAAAAGGGACTTTAGTCTCCTTTTTATCTGCTGGAGCAAAAAGCAGTGCCAGAACTCAAGGTCTGGCTCACAGTGCACAATAAGACAGGAGTAGAGTAGAGTAGAGTGGGGCTCTACTGAAAACTAAAATATTTTGAAAACAACATTTAATTATTTATATTCCTTGGGTTTAGGAACTTGCCTTGCTCGTAGCTAGGAAGAGACAATCAAAATGACTGCTGCTGCCAACTGCAAGTGAGCGTGAGCCTGTTGGGTTATATCTAAGAAACAGAGTAGGAGCCAGTTGACTGAGGTTTGACACTGAGAAGTCTTGATTCATGTACATCTTCAGACTGGAAACAAGGGGCCTGTTTTTGT